GATGAGTTTTGATGCACATGTGATCACACTTTCTTCATGATCACAAGTGTGAACGAATTCCCTCCAAATTACATTATCCACCCCTCCTATTGATCCCATTCACTTCTCCTATAAATACAGGCTCTATTCCACTCATTTTTCTCAAGCTGAAACAGCCAAAATCACTCTGCCAAACTCTCTTCATAGCTCACTTTTCTGCAACTTTAAAATCAGTGTTCTAGCTTTCTATAATTCATTTTATTTATCAATGCACCTTCCCTAAACCTAATTGAAGCAAACAGAAGAAAAATCAAGTTCTAAAACTCCCTGAATCGTGCTAGCCATGTCCAGTTTCAGAGCTCTACAACTTAACTTCAATAGGTAGATTCCTCCATCAATTCTCTCAAACTTTGATACTATTGTGAAGCTCTTGTCATCCGTTGCAACACTTGCTTTTAACTGGAAACACGTTTTGACAATGAAATTTCAAATCTCTTTTCAAAACTTCTCTTCCAAATTGTTGGAGCTACAGTTTACATAAATTTTTCGCAAAGGTGTGGTTGTCTTCGTCTTGATGAGACGAAGCGAATGCTACCAGTCTCGTGCTCTAATTTTACAGTTTGAGCGACCTGGTTTTGAGACTGGCTGGAGGTTGAAGATGACCAATGTGTCATCCTTCAGCCAATGAAACAACGCCATTTGGAATTTTTGAATTTCTGATTTTATATTGAATCATGTGCTTTATTCATTAATGACCATGATATGTACAATGCGCCATATCCCTTAGATTTGATTACTAAAGTGTTTTGACTCTCATCCAATGATCCACATATTTTTGACATTATTTTTTATTTCTGATTTTTATATTTAATTATTTTAAATTTCAAAAATTTATGGAAAATTCATTTTAACTCCAAAAAATCTGAAAATATTATGGAAAATACTTTTGATTTTTCTCTTTTTGATTTTTATTTTTTCACAATTTTATTTTGTGTGATATTTTTTATAATTTTTCACTTTATTTGATTTGTTTTAAATGTTTAAAAATATTTTTATTCATTTTTAAATTCAGAAAAAAATAGGGAAGGATCCAATGACATTTTGACAAATATTGGTGACCTCTTTTTTTTTTTCTGACTTTGTTATTTTTTTATCATTTTTTATTTATTTTACCTACTTCTTTTAATTTTAAAAATAGTTTCTGACTTTAAAAAATTATCAAAAAATTATAAAAATATTTGAGTTCATTTCTAATTTTTATATGGCCTTACTTAATTTTTCTTGATTAATTTGAATATAGTTGCTATTTTTCCTCTATTATTTCCATATTATAATAATTTTAAAATCCTTATTCTTTTATTTTTAATACAATTCTATTTTTGCATATTTTCTGGTTGATCTTGGATTGAAATTTTGATCATGAACTTTGTTAACATCATTGGATCCATGGTGTTGAGTCTAACTCCATAAAAATGGATGAATGATTTTAATAATAGTTTAATTAAAAATTTGATTCAAATGTGGTTTGTTCATTTCCCCATCCATCTTCATCTTACCTCCTTCTTATTGTATTATATGTTATGGGATGATGATCTCTATATCATTTATCCAAATATGAAGTACATAGATTGTTATTGACCGGCCTCAAAATAGGTGCGACTTCTATATAAGCCCACTTATGATTGCTTAATATAGCGCTACATTTTGTACCGATTTGAGAAAATGATCATTCGTGGCCCAAACTTATGTTTGCAAGCCCAAGTATGTTAATTTGGACCCTTTGATCCAATAACTTTGAGATCCATTGTTAGGAGGCTTTGGTTCTACCAATCCTCTAATGGAACTACATCAATTTTGGTCAAAGTCGATCACTTAAACATCATTGATCATTAAGTGTTACTTTGGGATTCTTAAAATGGATGATATACTTGACAAAAATCAAATGCAACTTATTGTTGAGAGGCTTTGGTTCTACCAATCCTCTAATGAGTTCCAAATGAAAATTTCAATATGGTCATCCAACTAACCATTAACTTCTAACAATTGATTTTATTTTGTACTTTATTTTATGCTTTTACTTTATGTACCATTTACTTTAGCATTTACATTCCATGCTATTTTCATCTTTGCTCACTTGATCCTTTATATTCATGTCATTTTTAATTTTCTCACTTGAGCTTTTCGTTTCTTTTTGAAGATACCTAATAATCAACTTAAACCCTAAAAAACTTTAATGTTACTTGGACTACTTGGTTACTATCCTTGGCATTATGGAGTGATGGACTTCTTGGACTTAGAAGTAGAAATCTTGACCTATGTTGCAGACCCTGTGACCTTAATTGATATTTCTTTTTTCGGGAGTTCTTGGGGTTTACCCCAATACATTGGGTTGTTTATTTGTTTTGTGTGTAGGTTATTGTGATTAGATGCTTTGTCTGTAATCTGGAAATCATCTGTATGCAGTTGTTACTCTGCCCAATTTTTGTGAGGACCCAATGCAATTGAAGCTTGGTATTCTTCAAAGGTTTATTAATTGTTTGCTTGATTTCAAATCCAAAGGATGAAATTCTTCATTCACTCAATATGTCAAGTGTTGGTTTCTTGTTGGTTAGACGGTTCTTTTCCCTAGCTTTTACCTTATGCTTTAGGATAGTCTCTTCATCTCCTCCCACCTTCTTTAATTTCAAAAATCTTCTCCCCCCTTTTGAAAACACTTCTTGTTTTAAAAACTTGAACTACTTTCATAATAAACTTGGACTTAGTTCCATGCATTTTTAAACCTTTTCCTAATCAAACATTAATCAATTTAATAATACTTGGACATTTTTGTGAGAAGACTAAAAGTCAATCAATCTCATTTAAACCATTTTTGCCACTTTGGCTTTTGCTTTAAAACTTTTCTCAAAAAGATTGGACTCTTGTCAATCCTTGTAGTGATGCAAACAACTATACTTTTATAATATGTAGTGAAGAGAGATATTTTCCACTTGGGTGTTGAGTGAGGTTTTTGTTGATTTTAAAATCCAAGCCATATCCTCCACTTTGAGATGATGCAAATTCTCCTTTCTCATGATTGTGGGTAGTAAGTATGTTTTTCATACGGACAATGACGATGATGTCTCATCTCATAGAATTAACCAATGCACTTGTGTTTTAAAATTTTCAAAGAGGAATTAGGTGTACCCTAATCCCCTATTGCACGGAAGGTGGTACGTAGGCACTAAAGGTTCGCAACCGCGGCGGGTGAAAAAATTATTAAAAAATATATACTTCTTTTCTCATCCCCACAATCTATTTTACATAAAACATTTTATAGCTAAAATATACAGATTTTTCAAAGAGGTTCCTAGGAGTACCGTAGATGTTTAGGGTGTTAATACATTTCCTTTGCATAACCAACCCCCTTGTCTAGAATCTTTCCCCCTCTTTTAGGTTATTCGCTCTTTTCCCATTCATTTGGAAACAATAAAGCGCGGTGGCGATTTTTATTTTGATTTGTGCGAGTTAAGTCAATCCAATGGCTTAGTCTCAACATTTCTACCGCTACAACATGGAACAATGGTGTATCATTTATGTTTGTGGATGATTTGTTACTTTTTGGAGAAGCAACATAAAAGCAGATGACATGTGTCCTTGATACTTTAATCATTTTTGTTGCATGTCTAGGCAAGAAGTGAGTCAAGAAAAACAAGCGTTCTATTATCAAACAATGTGGTAAAGAGTGTGCAAGAGAAACTGATGTGAATGTCAAAGTTTTGGGCCACAAAGAATTTTGGGAAGTATTTAGGTATTCCCTTGAGTGGTCAGTAGTTAAGAAGGAATGATTTCCAATATACCATTGATCAAGTGGCAGCAAAATTGAATAGTTGGAAGAGGGAACATTTATCGTTCATAAGAATGATCATATTGACTAAGAGTGTTATTGAAGCCATTCTGTTATACCCAATGATGACCAATAAAATCCTAAAGGCTTGCATTGAAGAGATTTATGCTATGTAGAGGAAATTCATTTGGGGCGATAGCGAGGAGCAACGAAAAATTCATGTTGTAGGGTAGGTGACCTTAACTAAACTGAAATAGTTAGGACGTATTGGGTTGTGCAATTTGGAAGCTTTTAATGCAGTTTTCCTCATGAAGCTTGGGTGACAGCTTATGAACAAGCCATTTGAATTGTGGTGTAATATCTTGAGAAGTAAATATATCGTAACAAGCATTGAGGATTTGATGACACGTAAAGGGAATAGTTTGAGTTTATGGAAAGATATTACGAAAATCATGCTGGAGTTGACGGAGTTAGGGAGTTGGATTGTTGGAGATGGAAAAACGATAAATTCTTGGACAGATAATTGGTTGGGGAAGGAGTATTGTATATAAAACTTTGATACAATTATTCCTAAGGAGTTTATTGGAGCTAAGGTATAGGACCTTATGGATGAGCATGGGGAGTGGGATTGGAGAAATCTTCAAGCTTGGTTGTCATATGAGTGGTTGTATAAGCTTAGATCCTGTCTTCTTCCTCGTGAGGGCAGGATTTTGACGTGTTTGTTTTTGCAGGTACAAGAAATGAAAATTTTATGGTGAAAGACATTTTCAATGAATTCTCTAGGTATAACAGTAGCGAGGTTAATGAAGACTAGAGGAAAATATGGAAGCTTCAAGTTTCTGAAAGATGTAGGAGTTTTGTATGGCTCATTTATCATAATAGACTTCTTACAAATCTTTGCAAAAGTAGGAAAAGTTTGGGGAGTGCTAGCTGCTCATTATGTGGCAAAGTTTGTGAAAGTATAACACATGCTTTGCAGGACTGTACGCAAAGTAGAAAGATTTGGAGAAATTTGGTTCCCAGCTACCTTCAAATGGAGTTTTTTGGTACGGGTCTAAAGGAGTGATTTCGGTTGAATTTGAATTGCAAGGGAGATTCCGAGCATGACTAGAGCAATTTGTGGGCAATCGCATGTAGTATTTAGACATGGAGAAATAAAGAGTTGCATGATAATCTGCACAGAAGACCAGAAGAGCAAATGTATTACATATTGATGCGACAACGTGATTATATGGAGGCCATGAAGCACAATAAAATAGTTCACAGACATGGGGAGAATATCAGGATTACAACTTGGATCCATACGGGTGCTCCTATGGTAAAACTAAACACTGATGGTGCTAGCAAGATTGCTATTAATTCTGAGTTTGAAGGAATTATTAGGGATGATAAAGTTAATTGGGTGTATGGCTTCTCCAATTTCTTGAGGAATTGTAATGCGATAAAGGCTGAATGTTGGAGAGTGCTTGAAAGTCTCAAGTTCATAAAAGATTTAGGCATTAATAAGGTAGGAATTAATGTAGATTTAGGGAGGTGGTGAAAGCGATGGAAGAAGGAACAATTAGACAAGTTGAATGTTTGCCTTTAATTAGTAAAATCTAGAAAATAATTTAGAAGTTGGATATGATGATTATTGAGCATGTGTTTCGAGAAGCAAATATGTGTGTAGATCTGTTAGCAAAAAAAAAAAAAAAAAGAAAGAATATCCAAAATTTATGTAGAGTATCGTATTTATTTAGATTCTTTATTAGTTATCGATAAAATGGACATGTGAGCCGTCGCTGAAAGTGTCTTATTTATTTATTTATTTTGGACTTCGACACTCTTTTCCACAAAAAGAAATTCTCATTTAATATATCCTTACAAGTAAAAAAAAAAGTGATACTTATACAAGTAGCCAGAATAACCATGGTAATATTTTGCATTAAAATGAACCCTAAAAAAAGAAAGGTCTTTCTTGAATTAAATATCTTCATTTATTAATTGTAAAACCTACTACTACCAAGCAACAAGCTCGTTAATGCATACTCTGCAATGCACCCTCTTGTTCTAGTCGAGCAAAATCTGTATCTTTTCAGTGTTTTGAGATGAAACAGTGATTTTATTGGTATAAAAGTGTAGCAGTCTAATGAGAGTGCACAGTGGATGTTGTTCCTTTTAATGAAATCACACATTTCTTAATAGTTGTGAAAAGTGAAAAACTATAAAAAGTAGAGAGATAAGAAAGAAAGCAAAAAAGCTGTTAGATGTCATTATCAAAGGTCGTGGGTAGAATGGTATTGCCAATTGGGAGAGTTATCTCTCTTTATCATCCACCACCTTAATCATACCAACTACGAGGGTTACTATACCGACATTAAACTATATATTCAGATATTTTAGACAATACTTCTAAAAAAAATTGAGCAAAAAGAAAAATATTTTGCGTGTATTATACAAAATTTATATATATATATATATATATATATATATATATATATATATATATATATATATATATATATATATATATATATATAGATGAAAGACTTCATTAAAGATGCGATTTATGGATGAGAATTAATTTTACTATCCTTGTTTATATAAAAGTTATATGTAAGTTGTGTATGATTCTTAAAAAAATATTAAAAATATTAATTTTAATTATAAAATAATATTATTTGTTAAAATATTTGTATTAATTGTAGTTAATGAAATAGTTGAATATAGTGAAAATTAATAAATTAAATTATAATAGTAAAATAATAATAATTATATGTTGCATTAATATTATAAAAAATATATTTTCTGAATTTTTCTAATAAAGTTTTTTTTTGAGACAGAATTTTTCACAGTATTGTATGCTTCGAAAACTAATAGAGAGTAATTAACATACCTATTTTAAAATAAATTTTGGTTAATGATTTTGCAGATACATTAAACTATGCAATAAATAAAAAAAATTAGAATAATAATTTTATTAAATTATCTTTATTAATTACTAGTTTGTGATCATAAACACAAAATAAAATCTAATAACTTAGAGGTAATTGTACAAATACAATTAAAAAATGATTAATATTACATTAAAAATAATGATATTTAGTCAAAGATAATTATTTTTGCAAAAATGATATTCATTATAAAAGAGGGAGAGTATATTTTTTATATTCTTTTTTCGAGTTTTATTTTTGAAAAGTTTTGATTACTTTTTAATTTTTGTTCTTAAAATTTATATTAGTATTATTACGATTTTACAAAATTATTCATAATTATTTATTAATATGAAAGGAATTAAATAAGTTTTTATTTTCTTTAAATATTTCAAATTTTATTTTAATTCTTATAAAAATTTTCTTCAAAGAATAATCTTTTTTAAAATTTAAAACTTAATTTTTGAACTTTATGACAAAATCATAGTTAAAATAATCTTTAATTCTGTCGCTAAATAAAAAATTGTCGTCAAAATCGTCACTAAATTGCAGAAGACTAAAAGTTAAATTTTAAATTTTTAAAAAAATTATTCTTTTAAAAATAATTTAGAAAAATTAAAAACGAAATTTGAATATTTAAAAAGACCAAAAACATATTTAACCTTTATGAAAAATATGAAATGACATAATAAATGACTAAAAGTATCATAAATATAAAAAGAAATATTATTTTTTTTATAAATTAATCATCTTAGATTGTTAAATGAATTGATGTAATAATAAACAAACTTGTCATTAAATATTCTAGATAGTTAAATATTAAGTGAATTGAACTAATAATTAACAAACTTGTCGATTATCATTAGACATTTTAAATAGTTGAATGTTGAGAAAGTTTGTTGTTAAACTCAAAAAGAAAAGATTCATAATAATACAGTTTAAGTTTGTAGACAAGTTGTTGTAATGTTACAATAGCATTTGTGGGGCTAAAAGAAGACCAAAAAGATCTTTAATCTCTTCTCTCATTGCACACTTTGTCACTCTTTTCACAAGCATCCATAAGCTCTCATAGGCCAAAGGTACCATTTTTTTCTTCCCCTCATTCTGCATCATCCACTCATAAACCTTCTGAACCCCATGTGACATACATCACAGTTTTCTATGTCCTATTGTAGTTTGTGTTTTTACCCCTCTCATCAAAATCAATGTTCAATCCAAGTTAAAAGCTTAAGAAATTTTACACTTAGTAGAAAATTTTGGGATTCTCAACATAATTAATTTATTTACTATGTCCTTTTACTCTCTTTTAGCACTCTTTTAGCACATGAGTTGGTTCAAATCCCATAAACAAAACATTGAGTGAGTAAATTTTTTTTGTTTTGTGTATTCATATTCATTCACATGATGACATGAAATGTTTCTTTCTATTACATGTTTTGGTTTGTTTGTAAGCTGCAGATGAAGAAAATGTATAAGAAATTCAACATCAATTAGAAGAGAAAAAAACAAGGCCACAAAAAAGAATCAAACTCTTATAGTGGATGTCATAATCAAGAATTTTGAAGCATAAACTTTAAATCAAGTGGCATCGAATTTCACACATTGGAGAAATATCAAATATCAGAAACACAATATAGAACCATTGTTTTGAAATTCATAAGGTAGAGAAATAAATTCATGGGAATGAAGAGTACTGGTGGAGAAATAGTTCAAGTTCAAGGAGGTCACATTGTTAGAGCAACAGGTAGAAAAGATAGACATAGTAAGGTATACACTGCGAAAGGCCCTCGCGATCGGCGCGTTCGATTATCAGCGCATACCGCGATTCAATTCTACGATGTTCAAGATCGGCTCGGCTACGATAGGCCGAGTAAAGCTGTTGATTGGCTTATCAAGAAGGCTAAGTCTGCTATTGATAAGCTTGATGAGCTTCCTCCTTGGAATCCAATTCAAAATGCAGCACAAGAGTTTCAAGAGGAAGAGAATAATAACCATAATGGTTTAGAAACAAGTGAACTGGTTATTGCAGGAGAAAATTCAGAATCTTCTGGTTACAATTTGCAGCAGAATAATCAGCATAACCATAATCATGCAGGTTTCATTCAATCAAGTATTGATAATGATGCTATAGCGTTTTTTCCTACGAGTTCCGTTGGTGATTCCATGAATTTTCAAAGCTACTCTTCTGATATAATCTCAAGAACAAACAACTCAACACAGGATCTTGGTCTTTCACTTCATTCATTCCAAGATAATCCAGTTTCAAATGATCAAACACTTTTCTCTGGATCAAATCATGTTGGATTTGATGCTAACTATCATAGGATTGTGAATTGGAACAATGATCATCATGGAACAACAACTGATATGAGTATGAATATGAATATGAGTATGAATATGAATATGAATACCAATAGAACAGGTTTCATGGTTAATTCGCCTGCGCCGTTTCTAGGCCAAGGTTCGGCCTTTTCCGCCCATAGGGGGACCCTTCAGTCCAGTTTTTCGCCATCGATTCGTCCTTGGAATGATATTCCAATGGCGGATTCGTCTGTTGATCATCATAATCAGAAATCTCAGCAACCGATTCACCATGGTTCCATCTTTGGTAGCAGGTTTTTGTCTGATGCTTTGACAGGTTTCTGTATTCCTGCTAGAATTCAAGGAGAAGATGAAAGCCATGGAGTTGGCTCGGAACAGCCTTCCTCATCTTCTAATTCGCATCACTAACCAGAAAAATCAACTGCATAATGTTGCAATCTTCATTTTCTATCAGGTATTCCACTAACCTTAAACATGTTTCATGTCACATTCTTGATATTGCAAAAAATTACAGTAAAATATTGCTAATGGAGCCTAAATCGCGCTCACATTGTGTCGCGAAATACAATTTTTCTTTTATATATTGTGGCCTAGATTACGGTCGGAGACGGTTTAAATTTCTATGTTGAATCATGTTATGCAGGGGCATATTGTACCAGATATGAAAACATGGGAAGGTTATGAAGACACAAAGATTGTCTGGTTGGATTCATGTTTTTTGTAACTTTATTTATTTTCTGTTATTGCAACCATTGACATTGGTGTTTTTTTAATGTGTTTTAAGAAACTGAAAGTGTGTTCACTACTTCTTTTTATATATGTAAGCATTATATGTAGTATTTTATGTTACTTTGCTCAATTAATATATGGTTTTGAGGTGGATTTTGTTTTGATCCTCATTGTGTTGTGTGGTTTAAGGGGAAAAGATAATTGTTCATTTGTTTATACAAATGAAGTGAATAACATAGGTTTCGTTTTTATTCTTGCAAAATCTTAGTTCAAGAAAAATACAATCTAGAGTATATTTGATGAAATTAGGACGAAATACATAAAACATACAAATTTAATAAAATATAATGATTTCAGTATGTCATTGGTTTTGTAATTTGGCGAAATTATGGTAAACTTGATTTTTTTTAAAATAATTTTTAAATGTTGAGAATCATTTGATTTTCGTCATTAACATCAACACTCCGTCACAAAAATGGCATCGTGACAAATGTTTATATTTCAATTATTGAATCAAACTGATATGACTGAGGTAGAAGAAAAGAGAATTTGACTGAGGTGGACGATTAAGGTAGATGAATGAGCACAAGATTTATCCAGTATCCACGTTTGACGATATTTGTTACTGTTGTAAGATAAAGTTTGTACATTTCATCTGTATTTGGTGTTCTTCTAAATCATAAATAAAATTTCTAGAGATGAGTTTTAGTTTGAATTTCCATTACGGGGTTAGATTTGTTAGGGATTGTGTTTTCTATTACAAAGAGGACATAAACATGCAGTAGATGACATGAATACTGATAAGTGCAGCTTATTTGAAGCTACTGGTATATTGAAAGAGATTGGTAATCTTGATCATTCAAAATATAAGTTTCGGTGGTATAAAAATGAAGAGGACAAATACAATGGTCAATAATAACGACGTTGATGAGGTTTATAAATATGCCATTGAAATAAAATGTGTAATTCACTTATATGTTGATCATTCTGTTAAAGGCATAGTTGTCCCTGATCCTAACCCTGAGAAAGATGAGGAAGATTAACATGGCATGAAAATAATTTTGAAGAAGATGAACCACGTGATGGAATTAATGTTAAAGAAGAAGAACAAGGGGATGGAATTAATGTTGAAGATGAGCAAGGTGTTATGGCTATGTTGATGTTCTTATGACGGTATTGTTTTGTTCTGAAATAATAGAGACGGTGTTCATATCGTGAGACTATACGTTCTTAATCTATGTTGTTGTCTTGTTTCCTATGGCAAGGACTCGAGGGTTAGCATATTTTCATTATGAAGAGAAATTAGAGAAGCATTACTTATGGTGACTGAAAATACCTCATTGTATTCCGGTTTAAGCGTGAACAAGATCATAAAGTAATAGATCATGTATCCTAGAGTGATGGGACAATGAGAAAATTTATCTGTGGATTCATAACTCTGTAGTAATGCATCTTGTTCGATTATTGTGGTTGACGATATGGGATGTTGGTTAGTAGTATTCGAAATATTGCCAAATATGACGTGGGAGCTGGACAGTGGAATGCGAGAGTCGTATTCAAAGTGGTTTAAACCGGGTAATTTTTTAGGACGAAAATGTTCTAAGTGGGGGAGAGTTGTACACCCTGATTTTTATTAAATTGTTTTTAATAATTAATTATGTGATAGAGTGCATTTGCACGTCTTGGTGAATACGTTGTTGTGTGGTTATGCATTTGATGGAAAATGGTTATCTTAGAAATTATAGAAGTTAAAGTATGAAGGGGGGTGTATGACTAAAAGTTAGAAACATAAGGGTGGAAAGAAATGGTTGTTTTATTTGTATTATTTAAATCATAATATTAAGAATTAATAGTATAGCTTATATAATTAAATAATTATTATAGTAGTAAGAGGAAGGAAGGGCATAATGGAAATAATGATATTAGGGGTCCAAGGGTTAGATAAGTCAAAACAAAGGAAAAGAAAAGTGTTTTTGGTTTATCGATCGTAGAAGTGAGAGAACAGAGAAAGAACGCTTTTGAGAAAAGAGGTTAGGGCAAGAGAGAAGCCATTGTTGAAGCTTGATGAAACTTCAAATTAAGGTAAGGGTGGTGTTCCAAATTTCTAAGGGATAATATAATGATAGGTATGTTTGGATATTGATTTTTGTGGTTGTTTTGGTGTATTGTTTTGTTCATAAAAATTGATTCTTGAGTTCTCCATATTTTTTCATGGGAAATTTGCCTATTGATAAAATTTTGATGCAATTGTGTGTATAATTGGTGAAATTGATGATGTAAACTGAGTTGGATTGATAGGTATTGTTTGTGAGTAACTGGTATATATACTTGAAAAACATTTTTCTGATTGAATTAATGGAAATTGGGGGTTTTAAAACTATAATTTTCGTAGCAGGAAAAATAAATGTTTTTTCACTTTGTACGCAGTGTAACCGGGTACAGCATATGGGGTAACCGGTTACTTGTGTAATTTTGGGGGAAATTGGGCAAAATATGAAGGTGTAATCAGTTACTGTACATACGGTAACCGGTTACCCAACTAGACAGTAGCTTGTATTTTTGAATTTCATGGGTAAAATCGGTTACCCCATATGGAATAACCGATTACCACTGAAGCTAACAGAAATTATTAAAAACTTGAAAAATTCATATCTTTTGACTCGGGTGTCCGTTTGACACGCTGTTTGAACCTATGGGAAGCTGGAAACATTTTCTTCCCTACAAAAAATAATTTCAAAGATAGTGGACAATTATTTGATGACGTTATGCCTTTGTTTGTGAATTTCTCATGATATGTTTTAATGCGATTATGTGAATTTGTTGTCTGTGATATGGTGTATTGTTGCATGTAAAGGAATGTAGGTGGCCTGAAATGGTAAGTTGCATTAATGGTTGGTGATATCGATATGGTGTTGTGTTGCATGGTCGGGTCACATTCAATTCATGTTGAGGACTTTAGTCCTGTTGTTGGTGTTGGCTCTAATCCTAGATGGTGTGGATAGAGAGCGAGAAATATTTACGTTGTTGTTGTTGTTGACTATGATCCTAGATGGATTGGATCGGAAGCAAAGTGAACCAAATTGTTCACAATGATGGTAACTCTGGTCCTAGATGGTGTGGATTCGGGAGTGATATTTGTACCACATGCATAAAGTCAATGTTGTGTCTCATTGCATGCCTTGTTATTAGCATAATGATGTTGTGTGTGGTTGTTTATGCCCATTAATTTTGTTGACGAAATGAAGGTGTGATATGTGGATATAATAACTAGGCATGATATATTTTTGTATACTTATTATTATACTTTTCTTTATATTGTTGTGATATCTCACCCCTTCTGTTTGAATGTTGCCTCTACGCGGGTAACATGGAGATAATCAAGAGTAGTTTCTTGCTGTGGAGTTCGAAGAGGTTGCTCTTCAGT